GCTTCCCGTTCCTGTGCTGTACCAGGTGGCTGCTTGCCAGAACTGGTCACAGAAATCGAAAGAATGCACACTATGTCTTCAGAACATACTGACAAGTTGCTAAATGCTCAATATTTGAAAAAAGAAAATGCAATTTTGAGTGTAGAGAGACTTACCAGGCCTCTACAAAATGCTCAGTGTTGGGTTTGGGCTCCAAAGTTAGTCTCTTCTCCAGTTCAAAGCTATGGATGTTGCGCAGTTTCCTCAAAAGAGGAGTGTCTCTATCTGAGGGCACCACGTCTGACCGGACTCGCACTGGCGAACCAATGCTAGGCCCTGCATGGGGGCTCTGATTGCCTTGGTTGCTATGTTCATCCTCTGTTCCCATCTAGAAGGGAAGGACAACATAATATGAAACCTCCAAGAATAGACAAAGATGTCTATGATTGATTCGGTTCATGGTACACATTCTGGTACCTTCCAGACAGCGGGACAGATTCGGTTCCGGTTGCGGTCCAGGTCCTCCCAGACATCAGTCTCCTGGTTCCTAAAAGGAAGGCTCGGAGATCCAGGCAGGTGCTCGGGCCGAGCATTGTCCCCATCACTGAGCTGCTCATCTTGCAGAACTTCATCAGTGTTCTCCTTCAGAAGATCTGCAGGCAGCTGTGAGGCATTCACAATGCTGGAAGAAAACAGAACCACCAGAGAACTCTTCATGGTGATACCACTACTAAGAAAATGCAAATGTTTAAGAGAGTTCAACCAAAGTAAAGTAAAGTAGTCACATGACTTACCCCATCTGAGCTGGTGTGAGGCGTGTATGGTGCTGTGGCGTGTTTGCCGTGGCGGTGATTGTCAGTGGGCTATCTGAGCTCATCCTTTCCCAATCATACGGGTCATTTTCCACTACGTTGTAGGTTCTCATGCTATTCTCAAAAACGGTCCTCAGTAGCTAGAGTGGAGAGATCATTTTCAAGTGAGATTGACCAATAACTGCTAGATATTCCATTGATCGATTAAAGTATCACATTTTTACCTGATAGTCAGGTTTGGTAAAGTAGTCCAAATTGCTGGTGTGGTCCAGAAAGACATTGAATTCTGGGGGCAGGTGTTTCAACATGAGCCGATGATCATACGTCTCTTTTAATTTCCCCACTTGCTCCTAATGCATAAACACAAAAATATCATCATCACTTCCCAACAAACAGGAAAATGCTTTTCATAGCACTTCTTCCTCCTGCCTGATCAGCACCTTGTCTTTTATCTTCCTCCAGGGTAGTTGCCCAAACAAGAACTCCACCAGCATGTAGAACAAAGACCACAAGTCATCATGTCTTCCCATCTCCTGTGACAGTAAGACCAAATCAAATCTGATCAGACCAGAATTATCCTGGTAACTGAAACATTACCAACAGCAGCTGAGACTATGCAGGAACAAGAGAGTGAACAGGTGGATTCTTACCTTGTTCTTGTGGGCATTGATTGAGGCGTATCGTACTGTACCTCTAAACCCTGCAACAGGACGGGGCTGAGAGAGAAGAGAATCTTACAGTTCAAAAATGTATAAAACCCAGTGACAAATAAATACTCACAAACATATAAACAAGTACAGTCAGAAAGACTGCATTAGAAATCACTATTGACACTGACCGGTCTGACTTCTTGGCAGGAGTTTGTAAATTGGCGTGCCAAACCAAAATCTAACATGTAGCAAGTTCGACATGTGTTAGGAAATCGGCCCATGGCAAAGTTGGACTGAAAACAGTGTGAAAAAGACATTCATTACAATAAGGTTGCAATATTTTGAGTAAAAAGTAAACTTGTTTACTAAGTGTACTATTTAAGTATACTGCTATTTATTTACAACACAAAAATAATATTTTGTAATCACTACAATTTGTATTGTTAACTGTTGTTGGGGGCAGTTAAAAGAGTTTAAACTTCTTACCGGTTTGATGTCACGGTGTAAAAAGCCCACTGAGTGGATGCTCTCAATGGCCTCCAGTATCTGCAGACCAAGTCTGAGTGTTGTGCTGACTGTGAAAGTGCCACGGTTCATGCTCCTCCTCAGATCCGCTAAATTACGGCCCTGCAAAAGCCAAAAAGGCAACTCAAAAGGTTACTCATTTTGGCTGCAAATATTTAATTGAAAGATAGGTTTAATATAAAGTCATAAATAAATGCACACAGACCGCAAAGCCTGAAGTCATCATATTCATATATAAATTGCAACAAACAAAAACACAAATCTACATGTTATTTGCATAATTACGTTAATGTATATTGCAGGTAAATGATACATTTACAGATAACTTTATTTTAATAGGTCACAACTGTTTTAACCATTATTAATGTCTTTATAGCTTTCTGTGTACATTACTGCACTCTCATATTAAATACATGTATTAGGCATGTAAAATCATCACCACAAATTAACTGTAATATTCGGCACACGTTAAGATAGAACAAAAAATGCATAACCTGTCAATCAGACCTCACCTGAAGCTCCATGACAACATAGTTAAAGCGATCATTGCGGCCACATCCAACAAACCGACAAACGTGATCCTTTCCTGAAACAGCGAGATAACACTTTATTAGACTATATATCATTGTATCTCATTTCACCTGCACAGAGACCAACCAGTCATAACAGAAGTCGTTTACATATGAAGTCTTAAATGTACAGTAGCAGAAATAGCCTTTAAAAAAATGTTTCATTCTAAAGATCAAAGAGAAGGTGGAAAATGTTGTTTTGGTACATGAAACCATGACAAAATAAATGGACTTCAAAATGCTATAAAAGTTATGATTATGACCACTTCACAAGACAAATAGTAAACAGGACGTTTTCTTTTTTTAAGTATTCTGTATCTTTTTCTGTCCATGTGATCCACTACTCCTCCTCCTAATAGAGATCTGTCCAGAGGAGGGGGGTGTATGGATTTAGTTCAGTGCGGCCCAGCTCTCTTGGGACACTCTCTGGACCGCAGGAGCAGATCAGACTGGCTTCAGCCATATTCTACTGTGATCTACTCCTGCTTTCTGCCCTGACACACCCTACAGCCCCCCGTAAGACCCTCTCTTCCTCATATGCCTCTTCCTCCCAGTCTCCAGTCCTCTATTATTTTGATTACTCTGAGTGTGATGTTCATTTTCATCATTTACACAGTATTCTTATACAGAATTATGTGAAAAATTACATAACTATGTATGAAAAACACCATGCTACTTTTTAGCTAGTGTCCAGAAGATTTGCATATATTATTTGTGCATCACTCTGTTTTATTTACTTCTCTTGTAACGGGGTGGGGGGCAGCAAGTAGATAGAGAGATCTCCAGTTACAAGCCTTTCCCTCGGGAAGAGATAAAACCACTCTGTCCTATCATACAGCCATATTACAGCCAACATGATACAAGTACATTGATTTTTTTTTTCATAAGCAGAGTGGAGAGGTTGAGGATATAATGGAGGAAGACTGTAAAGGGAGGGAAAGAGGATAACGATGGTGTCATTGCTGGGCTCTGCTAATTGATTTGTTGATTCTTTGCCCAGAGGAAAAGAAGACATTGTTTGATTTCAAGCTTATCTACTGATCCTTACAATGTGAAGAGCTGCTTTACAATACATTGTTTGCTCTAGTTGAAACTATTAAGATTTCCTCTTTGAATCCCAAAAATCAGGGTTGCATTTATCTGGTGCAAAACATTGTGAATTTCAATTAAGGAGACTGTGTTAAACTTGAACACTGAAATGTATACTATATACAACCATAAAAACAAAAAAGTAATGTATATAACACAATGCTAAAGCAGTATTTATATAAGTGAAACAAGATACACTACCGTTCAAAAGTTTGGGGTCCGTACGATTTTTTGAATATTTGCATTTATTTATGTAATATATTTATTTGAACGAATAAAAAGAGTAATATTTGTGAGGTATTATTACAATTTAAAATTGTTTTCTATTTTAATATATTTTAAAATGTAATTTAATCCTGTGATGACAAAGTTGAATTTTCAGCAGCTCACTCCAGTTTTCAGTGTCACATGATCCTTATAATATGCTGATTTGGTACTCAAGAAACTTATTATCATCTTATTATCAATACTGAAAATGGTTGTGCTGCTGCTTAATATTGAATATTTTTGTGAAACCGTATTTATTTTTTTCAGTATTCTTTGATGAATAGAAAGGACAAAAGAACAGCATTTTTGTGAAACAGAAAACTTTTGTAACATTACAGTTGTCTTTAATGTAACTTTTGAATGGAAGTATGAAACTTAAAAAAAAAAGTCAATTTAGGAATTCATTCAAGTATGCCATTTGTGTAATTATAAAAGTCACATTTATCTACTCTGCTTAACAACTTGCCTTGCAGTCTCTTCAACACTGCCACCTCCATCTTCAGAACCTGTTTGGGTTGTTGAGCTGACTCTGCTTTCAGAGCCACACTGGTGCGGTTCATCGGGTCCAGAGCCTCGTAGATCTCGCCAAAGCCACCACCGCCAATTTTCTTCACCTGAGGTGAAAAGCAAAAACCAGAGTGATATCACTGTGTACTGTTTAAATTTGAAGATGATGAATCAGAGATTATTAATCATAATAATTGCTAGTAATTTAATGATTTCAAAATGTAATTAAGCCAGTTCAATTCTTAATCCACTGTTTATAAATCTGATCCAAATCCCATCCATATCAAAATATGAAATGCACCTCAGTCACAGACTAAAATACTAAATTTGACTGTTTTTGATGTAAAATACATTGAGTATGGGGGAAAAAGAATAAATATAATTAAAACCATTTTTATTTTGTACAATACTAGATACTAGATCACTTGATACTAGATTTAATGCAAAACAAGAAAATGCTAAATTACACATCCTTTGCAATAGCATCACAGCATATTCTGCACAGCAGTCAGATTAAATTTTCATTATTTTGCTATTTATTTCTCTTGGCATCACATGTCCCTTTGTGCCACAATCTCTTCTGCCCTCTTGTGTCACTTCCTTTTCCCCTCAGATCTCCCTGACCGGTGACAAATCTGGTTTTCACTGGGGATTATACTGGGTTGATTCCAATAGTATGTTCCTGCACAACCGGAGGCTGCAGTTTCAGGACCGCAGTTCTAGGACCGCAGTTCTAGGACCCTATTCTTTTGTAACAGCACCACCTGTCGAATTGGATCACTAAAGATGGACGACATGGACAGCAATCAGAGTGAGTAACTTTACCGATTTTCAATTAAGTTTTATTTTATAACCTTAAAACGATGCAAAGTTTACGTAGCAAACGTGAGAACTGCTAAGAAATAATAATTAATTCCCGATTGCTCGTTTTATTGATTATTACGATGTTCTTAATTCGTGGCCATGATTTTATTAAGCTAAACCTTGTTGACATAATGACTACAATAAGTAAATCTAGCCAGCACATTAATTTAAAATCTTAAAATCATTAATCTTAAAAAGAAAACTTGTTTGATACTCATTGTTTTAGCATATTAGTTAAGTATAAATCATCTTTCATAATTAAACTGGGCTCATTGCTTGGTTGCACCACAATATGTGTTATTAGCCTGTCCTTTTGGCAGTACTTGAGATTAATCTGGTTGATGTTTGAAAGGCATGGTCAGCGGTTTGCCTTCTGGACTGATGAGGCCAGAATCCTGCTCCAAGGAACTCTTCAGCCAGTGTACAGAGTGCTATCTCAGAGGAAATCCACATTCAGGCTGTCGATGACCACACTGCAGAGGTAAAGACACTGCTGGACTTCATTGTAAAGTTACAGGGATCTGAGGAGCATTTAGTGGTACTTAAACAATGTTCACATTTAAT